TTTCCAGTGCTCTCCACCTCGCGATGCTGCGCTTCTTCCGCGCCGCCTTGAGCATCGCCTTCAGGGTCGCCTCGAAGGCACTGTTCTTTGAGGCCCCACGCATTTACTGCTGGGCCGCCTTAATCTTCTTAGACGCTTCGGAGATCTCGTGCTGCGCTTCGCTCGTGTACCAGCCTCTCTGCCCTCGTGCGCACCTCGCCAGCGGCGCGGTCTCAGCAGCGGCCGACATCACCGTAGCCGTCAGCTCGGCGGCGGTCTCTCCCGTTGGCCGCCTGAGCGCCGTGGGCGGAGGGCGGCTAGAGGCCCAGTTCTGGAAGGCGTCCCGTAGGTGTTTGTCCTTCCTCAACCGCTCGAGGTCGATACGGATCCGGCTGCTTCCGCTGTTCCCCCGCACTCGTCGGTTGGGTGCGACACGGGGGGGGAGGCGGACAGTCGTAAGCACGAGGTTGTGGTCAGAGTCTTTGAAGTCGACACGTTTGACGGAGACATTGCGCACGAAACGCCGGTCCGCCTGACGCATGAGGATGAAGTCGAGGCGGTACTTCTCCTTTCCCTTGTTGGAGCTCTGGAATGTGTGCTGCACTCCACCTTTCGGTGTCCGCCGGAAGGAGGTTTTGGTCAGGGAGAGTTCGTTGTCTGCTGCCAGTCCAAGGAGTCGTTCCCCGTTGTTGCTCATAATGTCGCATCCGTACGCGCCCATAATCTTGGCATCGCCGCACCAGTGTCGCCTCCTACCAGTGCGTGCGTTGGCGTCCATTAGCACCACGAGATGGTCACGGCTGTGAACCTCCCGGATCGCTGCGTCGAGAGCAGTCCAGAAGGAGTCCTTGGCGTTAACATCACCGCCCGCGGTGGTGCGGACAGTTTCCGTGGGGGCGTACCCCACCACGAAAGTTACTCCGCAGGAGCGGACAATTTGTAGACGCACCTTCATCAGCCTCGGGCTAATGCACTCCGCCGTCCTACCTTCCTCGCCCACACTCTCCCACATGGCCTCCTTGATCGCTTTGCCCACACCGTGTACGCCCCTCTTGTCCTTGGTGCCAGCACGGGCGCCACTCCAGATGATCACGTACCCGCCGTGTGCAATTGAACCTTGCCCCTCTCGTCGGGTCTCCTTATGTCCTATCACATCACAGCCGGTCGCGGAACAAATCTGCATGACCGTCATCACGTTGTGACCGATGGGGTTCCTACCGCTGTAGGCGAGCGTGCGTACGTTGAACGTGCCGAACGATAGGTCGCCCTCTCGTGCCTTCTTCTTCGCAGCCGCCTTGACGGCCGCTGCGGTCTCGTGTCTCTCTCGGTCCACCTCGCGTTGCGGGTGTGCTTTCTTCCGTTTTTTCCGAGCGGCGAAATTCCTCGCATCAATCCATCTCTGCAGAGCTCGGTTCTTGCCTGTGGTGCTTTGACGAGGAGGGTGCAGCACTCCCTCCCCGCGGTGCCCGCGGTTGTCTCCCTTCTCCCGCGATCGGTGCTTACTGACGTGGTGTTTACGAATCTCTCTACTCCTCCAGCTTCGTGGGCCACGCTTTCCGCGACGGTGGTTGCCAGGTGCAGTTTGCCGCTTTGCATTACTGCCGCGGGAACAGCATCCATACACACCTCTCGCCACTACCACCGTCTGTGCATCCTCACCGCCACGCTGAGCCAGCGCGGCGGTGAGTTGCACCTTGGGACACCACCCGCCTACTATCTGTTGTGGGCTGGTTCGCCCGCGAGGGACTCACTAGGTCGATTTCGGCCCCGGCCGGGGAGCAGGCCGAGGGGGGGGATTGAGTTGTGGGGGTGTGGTGTCTTGTGTCACGTAAGGTATTCCGCCGCCTATCCTAGTACTTGTATTGGCCAATGTATGAGTGGATTCAAAAATACGACAAGCGTGCCTCGGGACCGACTACAAACGCAGGCTGTAGGTAAGATATGGAGGGAGGTAAAATATTGTGGAATGTGATTGGCGGATTAGACTACTTCTCTCTCTCAATAGAACTCCAATCATTTTATGTAGATGGGGTGTCGGCAAGGTTGTTGTAGTTGACATGCATTGAGCACACGTATTCACGAACTACCCTGGAAACAAAAAAGTTCGAACCGCTCAAAACCAGGAGTGCACATTGCCACCAAGAGCGATAGGGTTTGGGGTAAGACGACCGACCAGAGCAACTAGAACCCTGGGGTAGGTCCGCAAGTGCCGTGCGCTCGACACATGTCACGTACAACAAGCAGTCACCTATGCTGCCTGCCTGTCGCCGAGCGCTGCACAGAAGTACATGGTGTGCGACAACTCTGCAATGCAAGCTGAAGACTTGATGCCAACAACCAACGCGTCACCTGCTCTTATCACGGCTGCCACCCGCCAAAGCACCGAATGGTGTGTGTACTGGCTGCTGCTGTGACTGTCTGACTTTCGAGCTTTTTGTGGTTCTCCGGACTGGGCATGAGAAGTGGGTGGGTGGGCGGGGGGGGGGGTCGTGACTGCAACCTGAATGGCAGATGCGGCGCAACTGCAACACATACCGAGAGAGTGAGCGACGTGTAGACCACCACCACACTGCAACTGCCGCTGTTGTGTAAGCTGTGATCACACGCACCGCGATGGTGATGTTCCCCAACTATGCAATCCTGTTCCTGGTGTGGAATGTGCTTACGACGGCGAGAGTACTCGGCTTCGTGCTCCGCCCTCCCGTGGGGTTTGGACATCTCGATCGATCCCCAGCTCAAGCGACTCATGTTATCAGTGCAACCAGACTGGGGATGATGTCCGAGGATTTTGGCGAGGAAGATAGTTTCGGGGCGAGGGCTATGCAGGAGAGAACCCGCGCGGAGCTGCAGGAGATGGTATCTTCGCACAACATTTTGGCTTTTATCAAGGCAAGCTTGCGCCAAGGTCCAACTTCCAGGAAAATGGCTGCTGTAGTAGTCTAATCTCCCAGCCTGCAACATGTCGTGTCCGTATGCTCCATGTCACGGCGGTCTCGTATGCACAACACAAAACACGAAAACCGTGCGGTCTCTGTTCACCTTGTCGCAGAATCATGTCCTGAGGAGGACACCAACGAATGATTTGCATGACACGTTCAATACGAATGGCGGAACTACTGCTGTTGTGTGTTGTGCCATTGGAACACTGCGATTGGCGGAAGGAGGGGGGGGGGCGTTCGTTCGTGGAACGCAATGAAAACTACCGACTTTTGCACCGGGGGGAGAGTTTTGACCACAAGCATAAAGACTGCGAGTTGTGGATACTAAACTGCTCTGTCAACCTTGCCCACACTCACGATCAACGATTCAAGAGACCAAGCAAACAACGCACGCCACGTATGCCCCCACGACTTCGAGGTGTCGCAACGCGTCATGTACGTGAATCTTGATGACAAGGTGCACGCGCTATTATAGCAGGAGGAGGAGCATCCTCACGGGACCGACTCCAACAGAAGGGGGAGAGGGTTTCCCAAAATAGAGTAGCGCCGGGGCCAAGGGCAAAGGGCAACAGAGGGTATATCCCTGTATTTTCTGGGCTCTGCAGGGTGCCACCTACAGTACAAAACGAGTTTGGACTGTCGTCCGGATACAGGATGATGCTGATCGGCCAACGCAATAACCTAAAACCCACGGCTAGCGTTGGGTAGGGAATACCCGCTATTTGGTAGCTGCTCAGCGTCCACCTTTTCACTTCTGCTGTGCGGAGTTGTCGGCTGCGCGTTGCTTACTTTTCGACTTGACCCACATTCTTCCGCTGACCCTATGCCTACCTCCTCCTGGACGGAAATGCGGACTCTTCCGGATTCCTGGCCTCCCAAACCTTGCTCTTCGCCCACAAGTCGCCGTCGTACGAAATGACCGATGCACTCAACCGTCCGTAAGGATAATGAGAAAGCCTGAGGTGAAGCTGCGGAGTAACTTGCCGCGCACACGGCTTGCTCGAGAGAGGTGCACTTGGGTGAAAATATGGTTGCATGCCGACCTGACAGGCGTATATAGGAACAACTTGCTTCCTCCCGCATGGGAGATACTTCAAAGCCTGTCGTTTGTGGAGCTTTGTTGACGCAAGCACCATGAGCCTAGCGAGGAGCATGTTTCTTCCTGATCACAGGGGGCACACGAACGCAGCCCCAGCTCTGCGAAATCGCGGTCGACGCACAGCACAACAAGCGAAAATCGAACAACTTGTTTCAGAATTTTTCATGGCGTAGTGCAGGCCCTCCCACACGCACACCACGAGTGGCACTACTGTACATGCCAAGTCACGTCTCACCTACTCCGGCACGGAGAAATGTATTTCCCCCCCGAGCATTGTAAGGGGTCGTGCAGGGCCTTGTTTTCTTTTGTGAGAAGGTGTGGGCGTCTCCGCCACCTTTTTCGCCGAGCCGAGCTTCTGCACTGCACCAAGCTGAACGACCCTACTACCGTTTATCTTCGGCGTAGCGGAGTCAGTCTCTGAGCATGTATGTACATGCAACAGTTTAATTTTCATCTTTGTTTCTGCCACCAGAGGGTTGGGTGAGGGGAAGTTATGGCGCAACAGCTGCACCCGCGAGCTCTTCGTTTATATCCTTGCGAGCTCTTGAGTGTATCGACCACCTCATGTGGCGGCGCTTGCAGGCGAAGGGCCGCGAGCGCAAGGCCAGGAATCCCCCAAGAAGAGTTCAGACTTCCGGCCAGGAGCGGAATAGGGTTTGCAACATAACACGTATGGGTCAAGACAGAGACACTTCCAGCGCGCAGCCGACACTTCCACAAAACAGAAGTGCGCAGGCGAAAGCCGAATAGCCGTATTCGACTCGCCCACGCGCGGTTCAGTCGGCGCCCTGCCACAACCGGAAAAGTTCAGGGGACACCCTCCTCCCAGCCGCTGCCTTAGCGCCAACCCAACGTTCTCACCACGCGCTTGGCCGCTTTCGTTTAGGGAGGAAACTCGAAGCAGGTCGCCACGTGCCCTGCAAAGCACATGCGGCATAATTGATAAAGGCAAGTTCTTGCCAGAGCTGTTGTCCCTTGATCACATCTCGAGAAGAAACTCGGTTGTGGGTGTCCCCAAGCGACTGGGCGTTTCGGGGTGCGGGACAGAACTTTGTCGTGATGTTTGTTCGTGCACTGCAATCAAAAACGTCCACGGTCATTCCCGTCGGTCGGTCTCCTGGGAACTTTATGGCTTGGGTGGTATGCCCCAATGTATTCTTAACACTCCATTTCCAGATAGAAGTGCCTGATGTGCTGTAAATCGGTTTGTACCCGAAGTACAATCTAATTGGTTTTCGGTCGCACGGTGATATTCCACATTTGGGAGCGTGCAATCAGTGCCGTTTTTCTGTACTAGCCAATCATGCCTGTATCATCGCCCTCTCGCTTGTGTATGTTGGTATTCCATGCTTCGCTCCCTCCCGACACAGGGCAATCGGCTTATGCCGCAGTGCGGCTACAGCGGCACTTTGGTAAATATCCTGCAAAGCCTGTCGGTGCCGTTCGAGACTGTCGACGTTCTGGCCGACGAGCGCATCCGACAAGGAATAAAGGCAAGAAGGAGGGAGGGCCTTCTTCTTCCTCAGGGTTTGCCGACGTTGTTCCATTTGTTTTTGTTTGCTTGGTCTCTTGGTTAGACTGGCGTGCCCTGGCATGCGATCGGGGGCGACTTGGCTTCGTTCTTTTTTGTCGCTTGGGCCGACAACCTTTGAAAGCATCCCGTAACGGCCAAGAAGAAGTATCCGCTCAATCCTGTCGCTCCTCCCACAACTATTACCTGGTTACACGTCGACAGGCGTTGTTTAAGTTTAGCGGTGTCTGCGATGGGACCACCACTAAACAATACCAATACTATGCGATAACTCTGTGCTTGCACGTGCAGCTGTAGATTCCCTCCCTTCCCCGTTCTTGTTTTTTTTTTTGTTATCTTCACTTCATATCAGCGTTCTTGGGTTGCTCGTGGGGTATTTGGTTGACGCATGTGTGTGCATTCTCATGTTTGACCAGTCAAATGGCCTTTGTTTTTTTTATCCATGAACACCACACCGCTGTAGTCCAGGGGGGGAGTGAATTCGAATCAGTTGTTGGTGGGCACAAAATGTTACCTCAGGAAATGACGGGTGTTCGTCAAGGACGGGTGTCCGTCAAGTAAGCACTGTCGCTTGTGGCAGGTTGAGGAAACGCTTTGGACATCGAATCGTTGTGTGGACATCCTGTTCTTCTTTCACCCTTCGGTGTCCTTCTTTCCTCACTCCACCACCCGCAGGACTTCAGCAACTGGCCAACAATCCCGCAGCTGTACCTCGGAGGGGAGTTTATTGGCGGCGCCGACATTGTAATTGAATTGTTCCAGTCGGGAGAGTTGCAAGAAATGATTGAAGTTGCCGCGGCATCTTAGAAGAAGCGAGTTCTCTTTTTTTTGCTGGCACGCTGCGCGTCATGCCCTGCTCGATTTTGTTTTGCAATCCATGTCGCTGCTTTCCTCTCGCTGCCTTCTTGCGTTCTGGAGATATAAGCGCCGCCTTGTGTGTTTGTAGGACTGTTGCGGGCGTCTTCCCGGGCATTACTTGACCTCCAACGGCACGGTTGCAGGCTGCCTGACACGTCATGCCCTGCTCGATTTTGTTTTGCAACCCATGTCGCTGCTTTCCTCTCGCGGCCTTCTTGCGTTCTGGAGATAAAAGCGCCGCCTTGTGTGTTTGTCTGACTGTTGCGGGCGTCTTCCCGGGAATCACTTGACCTCCAATGGCACGGGTGTACCTAGTACGTTGCAGGCTGCCTGACAAATCGCACAATGCGAAAGAAGGTGTTGCTGTTGCTGCCCGGCCAGCCTCTTGCCCTCAATGCTCCATAGTCGGTGGCGGCGTCGCTCGACGACATTGTTGCGGTGCCCTGCACGTCCTTAACTTTTCTTTTTTGCTCGCTCTAAAGTGTCCAGAAATTTCCGAGGTGTGGGGTTCAACGAGGGTGGTCCATATCCACCAGTTGCAGTCGACCGGTGGTTGGGTCTCCGATCGATTGTCGCCTGCCATGCGTACGATCATTTTCTTCCAATGATCATCTGTCGTGTCTGGAGTAAGGGCACAAGTCATCTCGTCCGTGACCTGTCTCGTAGAGAGCTTTACCGTTTGCTTCTTGCCGATGCACATCTCTGCGCACCCATACTCCACCATAGAACCTTCCTCGTACACCTCTTTCGTGCGCTAGTAGAGAGCCTCTACCTCAAGTACAGTGGAGGTCCCTGTTTAGTGCCGGGGTGTGCGCAAAAATTTCACCGGCACTATACCGGGCACCGGCACTATTCAAAGTACAGAACGACTTGATAGTCCAGTGTTTTTTTTTGTTTGTTTCTCTCCCATCATTGGACTCTGCCGTCTGCCCCTCTGGCCCCTATCCTCCACTCCTACTGGCTAGACGACCCAACCGGGGTCGCATAGGAGGGGGGGGCTGGACCCCCTCCTGCGGTTCATGCCTGAGGTAGTGTGTGCGAGCCGAAAACACCGGCACTATACCGGCAACCGGTCCTCTTCAACCGGCACTAAACAGGGTTATCTACTGCATGCAGTCCCCGGCGCAAGTTTGGATTTCAGCCAGGTCTGAGAGTGGTGATACTGAAGCACAACTCTCAAATTCAAGCTACAATCAGCGCTCTCGCAAGCCATCTATCTGTCTGTGGCGAAGGTCCAACATATCTACTTCGCCTGACTGATGGCCACACCGAACACAGATTTCTCTACGTCATGTGCGCGCAGCAAAACAGGAGCGACCATACATTCAACCTTTCGCAAAGGACCACGAGTAGTCCTGGTATTCCTATGCGAGTTGTTTTTGGTCTTTCGTTGGCATGGCATTCTCAGAAGGAAGGGGGGCACGAGGGGTAGCGCAACGTGACACACTGGAATCGGCGGCGGGGGGGGGGGGCGTATGCATACCCTCCCCGGGTGTTCACCCCAATATTTTGGTTCTCGTTTCGAACCGCCGGCCCTGTCTCATAATCTCGCCGCCATCGCCGTTCTTGCCGCTCCTCCGCACGCGGAGCAGACAATCGCCTCCCTCTCTCCGTCTCCCAAGCCACCACCAACACGCTCGCGGGACTCTTATTGCGCATGGTGGGGTGAAAAAGGCAAAGAAGCGTAGCGGTTACAGCAGCAATCTTTCTACTTCGACCTCCGTTTTCGCCATGAGTGGCGATCAGCCGCAGCCGGATCCCGGAACCAAGGCTCTGCTGGGGAGCCTGGAAAGCGTAGTGATGGACCTCAACGACATGGAGAACATGATCGAAAACTTCGAGGAATCTGCGGCGGAGTCGTTCTTTTCGAAAATGTGAAAGAGGAGGAGATATGCCATGGCGGGCTTGTTGAAGGGACACGGCTGATTTGAGATCTAGGAGAGACTACATGCAGTGTACCCTCCTCACGCCCGCTTACTATGACCGTTTAGCTTTTCGAAAGCTTTGGGTGTTAGACCATCCCTTGTACCGCTGTGCAAACAAATCGCAAGGTGGGAAATGAGTGAGGGGGGTGACTTTACCCTGGTTGTGTTGTTAGATGCGTCCAGCAAGACCTACTGCAGTGCCAGCCCAGTCCGAACAGCAGCGCGCCGCCCGCTGGGTTTGCATGTTATTGTGGGCAATCAAGGGTAGACGTGTCCTTGTCGAATGTCGCCGGTGTGCCGAGCGAGACACGTCGATCCATTTTGAAGAGGAGAAAATGGCCCCGGGCGCTTACCTGACCAGTGGGATATTGTTGGCGAAAAAAAATAGTCTGGTCTATCCAATATAGGAGTTTCTCTCGGCTTTGTATCGGGCGAGACTTCGCGGTGCTTGCGTGTGAAAGAGTACGACCGTGTGGAGGTGGGGCATATTCTGATTTTCCGCAAGCCTAGCCCACCTGTGACAGTTTGCTGCGGGTTGCTTCCTCTTCGGTAGACGCCGCACTTTAACCTAACTCTGCATGTTTCTCTTTTGCCTGTCTTGTCTGCCTGTCTGTCGGTCTGTCTGTCTGTCTTTCTCTCTCTCTCCCTCTCTCTCTCTCCCTCTCTCTCTCTCCCTCTCTCTCGCTGTCTCTCTGTCTCTCTCTCCCCCCCCTCTCTCTCTTTTTTTCTCTCTCACTCCCTCTCGTTCTCCTTCTCCCTGCGCGTGTCAATTTTGCTTCGAGAACCTTCGTTTTGAGTCCTACACGCTGCTTATCATGGTCCCCCCTTCCCCGGCCACACATGCGTGCACCTCTCTTTTCGTCCCTCGGTACTCGCTGTGCGATGCAAGGAACGAGTACATCACGAACCTCAAGAAGGTGGAGGAGAAGGCGCCAGGGTGCCAACTACAAGTGCCTCGCGAGGCCCTTGAGTGAGTGATATACCGTAAAATTGTCACGACCCATTGTTACGTCTTTTTCGCTTGGTTGTGATTATCCGTGCCATGTCGCCTGTGCTTGTTGCGCCGCTTTTCGCGGCCGGCGCCTCGAAGGCGCACTTCACTATCTTCGTGTAGATTTCTCTGGTAACCGCAACATGATATTACCCATGGCGTTGGCTGTCTGTTACTGGTTACGTCTGTGTTGACTGTCTGTTGCCTTCCGGATAAGAATTGCCCGTGAACATCGTGACCTTCCCTGCCGCAGACACAGAATCCGATCATGCGTGTAAGGGCTCTCCCTATGCAACCCTTCATTCGCTGCCGTTCGGTGGACTTGCCCTTGCCCATGGCCTGTCACGTCTCCTTGCTTGATGTGTGTCTGTCTAATTCTCGGCCCGTCTGAGCAGGAGAATCGATGACGACGTTGACCAGAACCCGGAGATTTTCGCGCAAGAGCTTCTCGCCAGGTGCATACTTTCATCGTTTGTTGTCTCGCTACCATCCCTAGCTCCCGTCACACGCGAATACTGCTGTAGTCTAGCACTTAAAGTTAATAATCACAGCAGTGCATTCATTAGATGCTGTTAGATAACCTCGTGATGTTTCCCCCCACCGAGAAATGTTGCCCGCGTTGTTCGAGTTTGAGAAGAAAGAGGTGTGGAGGGGTTGCTTGAATGCTTACATAGAACTGTAAGGATTCAGGCAGGGAACCTCTCCATTCTGTATAAGGTGAGCATGGGTAGTTGATATATCGGGCGAACTGATGTAGACCGACCACGAACCGACAACAAGAGTTCATGGTATCGGCACTACCGCATGCCTGTAAGACCCCCAACGGGTAAAACCGCCTGGTTGCTGTCGTCGCTCGATTACCCCCCAGCCTAACGCTGTGAGAACCCGGCGTGCTCCGGCCAGGCATTGTAGGGTTGCGAGGTCAATGGTTTAACGACTGCGTCGTGCGTTAACACAAGTATCCCCCCCTCTGCACGTTGTTGAGCCAACCCTGCACGTTGTGTGCGGATGGCGAGCATCACACCAACGCTGTGTATTTAGCATTCAAGCTATATACCTGCCGTGACACCGGCACCGCAGGTGCAAAGACGAGTCCGGACAGCTGAGTGCGAGAGTCCTCGGCATTAAAAAAGTGCGTCAAACCGTTATGGAGGGCTGGAGTCCCGAAGGCAGCGGGCCTGTCAACGGTGCCACACCTTCCGCGGGTGGTGCTGCTGTTGGGCCAAACGGGGCGGCAGCTTTGGCACACGGTAGGGCAGGTTCAGCACAAACGGCAACAGCAGAAGGGGCTGAGGGAGGACGGGGCGGCGTCATGCCGAAGGGGGTAGGTGGAAAGGGGGCGCCTGGTCACAGCAGCAGCAGCAGCAGCCGTGGTTAAGGGAGCGTCGATGCTCTTTTGTGGCAGCCTTCTTTCTTGGTCGTTTCCATCCCACAGGCTGTTTGTGCAGGATGGTAAGGTGCTGAGAGGGAGCCATGTGCGCAACGACGACAGCAGCAGTGAGTGATGGATGCCATCACGGCCTTGTCAAGGTTTGGCTGGTCGTACACTCCTGGTTCGCCGAGCAAAAACCTACATGGGGGAGGAGGGGTCCTTGATCGAACTTCCTCACTCTTCGAGAAAATTGAAAATGAAACTGTATGTACGGGGAAGGTAGTTGTGTCGTGCAGTGCGGGTGGGCGCTGTGGCTGAGCTTGACAAATGTCCGAAGTGGCACATGACCTAGGTTTCCTTTCAGACACAAGGGTATCGGCGCCTATCAATGATGGCCGCACCGATACACGTCTTATCGAAAATGCTAGGGTGCGTCAGTTTTGTTTCCGAGCGACATCCCGCAAGGATTTCTCCTGTTTGTCGTGCTTATTTTCACTTGGTCCCGATGTCAGTGTCGCTTGCTGTACTTTTTGGGTGTTGATGTCGTCCGCTTATTGTTTCTGGTGTTTTTGTGTGTCACACACCGAGGTTGGGGGGGAGGGGTGGGCGTTGTGGGGGGCTCCGGTGTGGCGTACGTATTTTTGGCGTAGTTTTCGGATTGTTTTGTTGTGCCTGCTCCTCTATGCTTGTGGTCTGTTGTATTTTCTGTGTGGCGGTGGGCTATGCCTTAGGTTTCGAGCTACAGGCTCGGTGTTTGGCATTCGTATGGCGAGTAGTAGACACCAGACTAGACCTCTCGTGAGAAGAGTGAGAGCGGCGGCGGCATCATCATCATCTGATCTGCTGATTGCACTTGCTGCTTGCAGGCAGGTTCAGAAGTAATAAGCTGTTCTAGTCTGGGATGAAACGTTTATCTCCGTCCGATCATCTGACAAGGTCACAACATGTTGTGCCAGACAGTTACTTTGGCAACAAGGCAGTGGACTTCCCTCCTCTCAGATGTGGAACGGTGTACTGTTGTCCCCTCTTACGGATCGGCTGTGCATGCGAGCGTACACTTGGTCTTGGCTCCCATCAATTAAATGTGTTCTCGAACAATCAATAAGGAATGACTCGTCATGTCCGGGCCTTTCTTGCCCAACAAGATTTTCGTTTGTGGAGGACACCAATCGTCAAGAGAAATCGTCTGTTCATGGCCGCAGATTGCTTTTTATCGCTCGCGACACAAGACAAATCGCAACGAGCAAGGATTTTAGTTTTGAGTTCCTGACAGGTGACACGTCCAGATGGTTGAGAAACATGTTGACACCAAAAAACAAACGTGCGGCGAATCTCGTTATGTATTGTGTGTTATTGGGCCGTCCGGACGAGGCAAGTCCTCCGCACACCAGGCAACCATACAGACGAATCCCAAGTTTTTCCCCTTGCATACAGGAATGCACAAACCAATCGCGTTCGCATCGACCACCTATCGAACGTGAGATTGGGAGTGTGTTGTGCCGTGTTCCCGTGTGAGGGAAAAAACCAAGCTCTCCAGCAGATGTGTGTATGTCCTCTGTGAAAAGAATGACCGCCCACGCCAACTTGCGATCTGTGCATCATACACGTCGTTGCTTGCCTGAAGACTAGACAGGGACAACCTCCTTGCATTACAATGCCGTCACCTCATCATGGAAGTACCCTGGATTTACAAACCAAAAGGTTTATGAGAGGACTTGACGTAAGAGATGAAGGTAATCGGCGTTCCATAGATCCAAGCCGCTCACTTTTGCCTCTTGCAATCTGCGTTCCCTCTTGTTCGTGTGTGTTCTATGTCCGCTTATAACTTCACGGCGAAGAAGTTTACAAGCTTAAGTCCACCCACCGACCAGCAAACCGGCGGAGCGGATACAAAAGAAAAGGAAAACACGAAACGTTGCAGAAGAACACTCAGGAACACCTGCACCGTGAGCCCGTCGCATTCAACATGCAACAGGCCAAACACAGGAGTCCCGGCTTCAACATTCCCCCCCCCCCTACCTCCGTTCACCCGTAACAGGCCCTTCACAGAATACAACACTGCGAGCACAGGGAACGCACTACGAAACTGGCTATGCTAGTCGAGTTTCCTTCTCTAAAATTCACACCAAAAAAAGACGCAAAAACGACCAAAATGACACCCTAATTCAAACTCAACTTCTGCAAGCGAGTCTTGTGCTTCGCCCCACACCGCCCTCACCGAACGACAAAAGGCGATGTAATCTGCCATAAAATCGTCTCACGCACGCCGAGAACATGCTACGCTGGCAGAGGGGCGGAGTGGGGGGTCGAGAGGCCAGGCACGTCATGCCAAAACCCTACAATACAAGCCTCAACGGCCCGCGTTGCAGAAGCGGCCGATTTCTTCTCCTGGCTGGAGTCGTCGGCAAAACAACCCAATCCCATCGATACGTCGGCACGTCGTTCTCTCCCCGCTCCCCCTTCACGTACGACTCTAACGCCTACGTTGGCCTCGGTGCTGCTGTGTTGAAAGTGAGTTGCCCCCAACAACGTGAAACGATTAAACGGGTTCTTTTTACTGGATGCGAGCGTAGAAGATACCTGTGACGCAGCAACACGCAAAAGATGCAACAGAGGGAAGATTGGGCGGGGAATGAGCGCGGGCACATGCGTAACGAGTACACAACAATCTGCGCCTACGGTCAGCAAATAGCACGAAAAAACGTTCACGACACCAAATATCGCGTGGTTTTCTCGGAGGGTAACCCCCGCCCGTATTTTCGACGATAAATCGCGGCAACCAAGCAACACTCGCACGGTCAAATCAATCACAGCTACCTTTATTTTCCTTTCGATATGAATAAAACATTCATGAAAATATCAAGTTATTGGTGACCAGGCGAAAGTTCCACGGGTAAATGAAGCAGGAGACTTACCCTTGACGAGGATGTCCTTGGGCACCTTGGAGCCCATGTCGGTGTCGCCCTTTTGCTTCGACACGAACACACCTGTCCATGCGGAAGAAAGGAACGTAACGTCAAACTACACATAAAGGACAAGAATGAAACCGTTGACCACGCGATCATCGCACGTGTTCCGTCGTGCAATACCGCGGTAGAGAGCCATCATCCAAGATTTCAGCGTTCAACGGACGACTCACACTTCGCAGAAAAAGACAAAAGGAAAGGACATGTTCCTTTGCCGTAACCCTCCCACGACGCAATTCACCCACTTTGTCCACACATCTGAGCGACAAAACATCAAAAACACGTGTTAAACCAGCCAAGAGAGGCACACCACGGTGAAAGACCAACGCCCTCTCTGATTCAGCCGTTCCCGACCAGTAACAACGATGCTGACATCAAAACGCACACAGACAGGAGGACCCCCTCCTTCCCCCACCGCAACGCACCGCCAATCTCTCCCGCCTCCTTGTCCACGGTGTTAACCTCGAACTCGATGTTTCCGTCCGTCACATCGAACACCTTGTTGTTCTCCTTGAACATCTCCGCGTCTCCCTCAATGCCGGACTGGAGACCGGGCAGCGCGACGGCCATGTCGTAACCCGTGGATCCGCCGCGGCCCTTGGGGTCGAGGAAGAGGCCAGTCCGGTAGGAGGGAGTGCGGAAGCCGCCGCCCATCTGGAAGCCAGGCTTGACCTGGTTACCTCCCGTGGACGCCTTCGCCACGAGGTCCTTCACGGTGAAGAGGAAGGGAATGCGCTCGTAGTTGGACTGGATGGTGGTGGCGGCGTAGTCGATGCCATCCTGCAGGCGGGGGGGGAAGGAGTTCGGAAAGGACGACAAAGGTTATACTATTATAAAAAATGCATACTTGTTGGTACAATCAAAGAAATACCACCCGTTCGAGATGTAGCCATACAAGTCGAAGGGGGTGTGTCGACAAGTCTTCCAGGGAGGAACACGACGTTATACATACAACGAAATAGAGACCATCCGTTCGAGATATCATCACCAGTCGAAGGGCATTTGTTGGAAATCTTCAACGTGGGTGGTTTGCTTCCGCGTTTGGCTGGAGACATTTTTGGTATGCCAAGGGTCTAACCCGGTTTGTGCCCGTCGGATATGAAGGGAGGCGTTGTGAGACTTCTCATTATACGTGTTAGCCAATGTTGACGGAGGGTGTGCGAAAAAATACGCATCAGAAGCACATGGACATGAACAGCCACAAGTCATGCATTGCAGCACACACATGATACGTTTACGACCAGTATGCATGCCGTTTCGAGAGTATATTTTGGGACACAAGACTGGTTGCTCACTTCGAAACTCTTGAGACTTCCAAACTTCCGTTTTGCAGGCTACAGCACGAAACACACAAATCAGGCTCATCGAGATTTTCAGGTCGGAAAAAGCCAGGGCATCATGACGGGCACGAATGCAGCGCCGCTCGTCCAGCCAAAAGCCGGCTTGCCCTGAGGTATAAAGCAATAGCATGCAAGCAAGCGCCCTCTAGCCAACACGCTCCGGACTGCGGACTGGATCTCGACTCCCTCATTGTGGTCACCGCTGTGTCCTTGCAAGTCACACGTTGTACACGCGGTGGCGCGAGCTCGTTTCTTGGTATTTTGTCTCGCGTTCGACCTCAGCTTGCGGCACGGAAAGAACAAGGCGTGTTGACTACATGTAGGAGGGAGGGCGGCACCTTCCTTACATTAAGGCACGAGTTTCGGTATCACTGCTCATGGGCAACAACAATCTTAGGTTTTGTGAGGCATGACAACCGTTACCGCTGGCTGTCGCAAAGAGGCTGCTGTCCGTTTCGGGGAGACACATGATCGAAAACACCCCGTCCCATCGACACACCACTTCCACCACCGCAGGAGCAACAAACCAGCTAGGTCGCGACAGGCAATATTTCGTCAGGGGGCACTGCCGCCATGCCTAGAGTTATGACTTTGGGACGAGGCACGCAAAGAAATCTGCAGCCAGCAAGGCACATCAGAAAGGCTCCAAGGCAACCGAAACAAGACGGCGAAACCGCCTGCAAGAGGGTGGGGACCAACCAAAGGGAAAACATGCAAATGATTCAGCAGTGAATGAAACACAACATAGTACAGCAAATCAGTGTATGCAAGAGGGTGACAAAGAAAATCAAATTAAACTCACCTTCTCGGTGAAGGTGAGCTTGCCGTCCTTGTTGGCGAAGTCTCCCTCGATGCCGTAGAGGGTGTACGTCTCACGCGTCATGAGCTTGGTGTCGATCATCGCCGGCACCATGTTACCCCCCCGTGCCACCTGCACACAAGAAGTAGTTACAGAGAGGGACAAAGAGAAGTGCGATGGTTACGAACAAGCCAAGCTCAACGCATCCAACAGCAGTATATCGTACAAGCAAGAGCGATAATCATCAGGGCCCCGCGTGCACGATTTCATACATCGTCATACGGCTAGAGTGGCTCAGGATAAGGACGACGTTCTCCTGCTGCATTGTCTACCCGTTGAGCCTCCCGGGAACGCAGCCAGCAAAATGAGGGTTGAACACGAGGCGCTTATGGCGGTAGGCCGCGCTGATGTAGCGCCTTGCACTAGGCGCCACCAGCGAAACGAAAAAACACGCCAAATCATCAAGAACAGCCTCAGCAGGGGTGCTCCCAAAGGCAAGGCTTGTGCACTCACTCACACAGCAGCAAAGGTGCAGGACCAAGACCAGAACACATCGTTTTTTCCAGTACAACGAAAACCTCCGAGAGGGTACAGCAGAACACCCGAGTGCTTAAGGGCAGCGCTGGGTCCGAAACCAACGGTTCACGTCCTACAGCTGACAATACAAGCCTGCTAGTTCCATGCATATTGCGTGAACCACAAAAAACAACAGATCGGCTGGACCATCTTCTGTGTGTTCAACGACACGGAACACATTTGTGACGCTGAGTGCTGCATTTTTCAACATGCTCTTCTTTGAGTTAAGGTAGGAACGATGAACGGCGACTATTCGCGTATGTGTCTCTTGTCGCCATTTCAGAGTCTGCACTACGTGTTTTACGACAGCAGAGATCCTAACATAGAGCAAATTAAGGGCGGGATGGAGCGTGCCGAAGCTCCCAATTCTGCTGCTTAACATACGCGAGTGGTACCGAGAGTTTTATCATTTCTCCGGGACAAAAAAAAACGCGGATTGTACACAGCATACTTTTACGGATGCGCAATGCATCTCTCATGTGTCGCTGACAACCCAACCGAGCAGTTCCTGACTATTGAACCAATAGCCGGTTGTGTGGGGTGGGTGGATTTGTTCATTTGTACATGGAGAACAACTTTGACGTGAATCATCTTGGATACTGCAACATACAACAGAGACAGCAGCTACTAGCACAGCCACAAAAGCAATCGCATGCTGGCAGTCAAACCCAGTCAGTGGAGCTTATTTCCAGCAAACTGGGCAATGGCACTCAGCCACCGCGTGGCCTTGGAATGTGCTTGTGCGAACTACTGCTGTTGCATTTGAGAAGGGATGACTCACACGATGGCCATGCGTCCTGCGTTTTTGGAGCACAAGTTGCTCTAAAACCAGCATGAATACACCCCGCGGCGAAAAACCCGCACACACATGAACACCCGCTGGCGATGAGCATATTTTGACTCGAGCTAGGTAGCGTGCCACCGCACAAAAGCGCAGCTTAGAGCTTGTGGAACGATGCCCACCATCTAGCAGGCATGCAACGAGACTACTGTAGCGCAACCGAGACTGGTGAGACGTGCGCTGCAACATCACAACACCGAAAAACGTTATCAACAAGCTTCTGTACAATTTTCAAGAGATAATCTACCTTGTACGAACGCAAACATGCAAAACAACATGCACACACAACACGCATCTAGCGGGGCAAAACGCCACACTGAGTGCTGGGCCTGTCTTTCTCTCTCTCTCTCTTTAAGCCTCTCTCCCTCACCTTGGACAAAACCTGGAAGTTCTTGGGCTCGATGCACATGTCAACGATCTTCGCCCCTCCGCTCACGGTGATGGTGTCCTCCCCCACAACGTCTGGGCATCGGTTGGCGAGACCCGTTCCCTTCACCTGGGTGTACGAAAGCGAGTCGAGCTTGTCTCTCGTGACCGCCTCGGAGGGGGGCGCGGTGAACAGCGAGAGCCCCGCGAAGATCGCCAGCGCTCCGGTCGCCGCCTTCTTGAAGCTGTCCGACGCAGCCGACATCTCCACCGCCGAGGTCGATGCGCGCGTGGTGGCGGCCGGGCCGGCCATTCTGGCTCCGTTGAAGGCGGACGAGGGGACGAAGGCGTCCGAAGGGCTGAGCGCGGACAGCGCAACGGCGATCACGGCGAGCTTCATGGTAGTAGGATAGAGGGTAGAAGGGGCTGTGGTCAAGCTCTACTTCAGCAACGTTGTGACGGCAGCAACAGACTAAGCGGCGCACAGAGCAGTAGCGACGATGAAGAGATGCATTCAGGGGGGATACGCCCTCAACTTAGCCGCGCATGCGGATGCATGTTTTTCAAGACAGGGGATCGGGGACTCTGAGGGGCTCCGCGGTATAGAGTTCCACAGAACCCTGCACAAAGGGATAGGTCGGCCCGCATCACCTTGCCTTGCATGTCAGTGTTATTTGGTTTAGGAAATTTTTTTTTTTATGCGCCGCTGGCGCGCAGAACTTATACACAAAACACGCCTCCTCCCGAAGCCTTAATCACTGGGCGTCAGTATCCAACTGGCGAGAGGCCTGACGGAGAGGTGGAAAGCTTATCTAGGAGGGGATAATCCTAGGCAAGAGCACCACGGCTGGGTGGATCAGGTACGTGGCTACTGACATTGCCAAGGTTTTCGGCGTAGCCTGTTCTGCAAGGCTAATGGTGAGGACATCGCCGAAGTGACTAGAAGTGACCTTGAAAAACGCGCCGCAGCTAGACAGTCACGGCAGTCTCGCCGCACATCACGCTGTGCTCATGACACATCATGAACGCGCTCCTTGTCCGCCTCTCTGCGAGAAGAAGAGTTCCGCAGGATAAGCATACATACGTCGACGCTTTATTGTGATAGTCGGCAGTGAAAAATGCGGCTGATATGGCCCAGTGCTTTCCACGGTACCTCATTCCACTCATAATAACTGAAATACCTTTCTTTTGGTGGAGGGAAGGTATCATGTTAACGAGTCTTTACACTACCGTGTAGTGCAACCAACCGGTACATCGAAATCTATGCGCAGGTTTGGCATACGACGCCTTCCTTAGGGATGCTTTGGGGGGTGCGCGGACTCCGGCGGGAGACGGGGCTACGGGGCATGGAGCGCGGAATCAGGACGATGCAGCTGACGGAGGGTGGGAGCCGCCCGCACAAGGGGGGGGGGGGGGAGAGAATCCCCAGGGAGGACTTACGTCAGACGTGGGAGCTCGCGCTGAGGCGGCCCGACAGGCAGGAGCAGTGGGACGGGATGAGGGGGAAACACACGATGAGGAGGGGGCGGAGGTTAGGCTTCCCAGCGAGGAAGATGGGTCGGAGTCAGGGGGTCCGACCCCACCCGCGGGAGCAGTGGGAAACGATGATGAGGAAACACCCGAGGAAGAAGGGGGAGATGTTGGGAATCCCGGCGAGGAGGGTGGATCGGAGTCACAGCGTCGCTTGGGTGAGCGGCTGCGCTTGTGCATTGTTGACGGCGCCGAGATATACATTCTACTTTGTTGATGTTGGCTACCCCTCAGGGGCCACCCAAGCACCCGCATACCACAACACTGTCGTAAGGTTTCTTCTTCATACTTGTACTTTGCATGTTTGAGCAGCTGAATCCCGCCGAATTTACCTGACTGATCATCCTTTCCAAGACAACACAGTAGTATAGTGGGGACGGGAGAGACGTCATCGCCTACTTGGTAAAATGTATTCCCGAAAAATGATACGAGGTACTACCGAGCAACTTCTCCTGGCGCATTGATCGATTTCCTAGATAACTACGACGACGTTTGGGAGGAAGGCTCGCAGGACAGCGAAGGAGACGACGATTCGCTTGACGGTATGGATGATATCGGGATCGACCTCGACGGAGACTTGCTGGTGGACGACGAGCCTTAGTTATGTGCGTTGGTATCCGACCGTCAATATAACGCCGTTAGTTTAACGGCTTGTGCCTTGCGACAATTAAATTTAGCACATATCGTAGGAGAGGCTTTCTGTGTGCCATGCGCAGAAAACACAGCCCGGTTCATCATATGCCTCCCCTCCAACAACAAAAAACGGTATATTGCACCAACAACACTTCGAAAATACAACGGGTAGCCCGCATTTTTTTTGGCGCCTTATGCGTCCCCCCCAGCATTGTCAGGGATACCATGGCATTAGCCCGGGTTTCGTTAGGCGTTTTTTCCGCAAAACAGCTTACGCGAAGATTCCCCTTCCCGACTTTTCGGTGTCTCGGTCCGATATTATTCTCGCAGGTGAATGGTGGAACCCATTGCGTGACCCACGAAGATCTACCGTAACGGAGTGCAGCTGCATTCGGCTGTTGTGTTCTCCTCGTAGAAATGAGAATTGCCACAAGTGGTTTTCGGCCATGTGGGTTTGCTACGCAGCACAATTGCGTGTGTGTGGTACAGTCGAAGTCTACACTTCGGTGTCTGCGTCTTTTTTTTTTTGTGTGTGGTGCCAGGTTCAAAACAGTCCAGTTTTTTTTTTGGGCACACATGGGTTTGTGTAGTCGAAGTCAACACTTTGGTGTGTGTGTCTTTTTTTTTGTTGTGTGTGGTGCCAGGTTCAACACAGTGCACGTCTTTTTTGTTGGGCGCACATGTATGCGTGCGTGTGTCGTACACTCGAGGTCAACACTTTGGTGCATCCTGAGTCATTTTTTTTGTTAGGAGTGGTGCCAGGTTCAAGACATGTGCACGCGGATTTTTTTGGGCGCACTTCTATGCGTGCGTGTGTTCAACACACAGTGCACGTATTTTTTTTTTCTTGGCGCACATGTATGCGTGCGTGTTTCGTACACTCGAGGTCAACACTTTGGTGCATACCGAGTCTTTTTTTTTCTAGGGTGTGGTACCAGGTTCAAGACATGTGCACGCGTTTTTTTTTTGTTGGGGGGGGGGTATACAGCAGCAGTACAGTTTTTTTTGGCAGAGAACTAAAGATGGTACGTTACAATACAACGGCGGGTGGGCTGCGACCTTTTTTTTTTCAACGCTCCATGGGCAAATTTTAACCCGATGTAGCAAACATAGTAGTTCATTTGCGGTGCATTTCCAGAACAATGTCTGCCTTGTGGGCCACGAGTCGCACACGTATAGCGCACACATAGGCATGGCCATCCATCATGTGCATGCAGGTACACAAGGAAAAACAGGGTCAGCTGCTGTGCCATGGTTCTCCAGCCCAAAATTATTTCAAACGTCGGACGTCTTTCCCCCCCCAAAAAACAACAGGGACCACCAACACGTCAGGGCGGACAGGCGGGGCGTCGGTAGTAGCCCCGGGGAAGCAAACATGCAGACTTCCATTCAACTTACCCAGCATACATATACTGCTATGCCAATAATACCATAGTGCTATGCAACTTCACACAAGCACGTCTACTCTAGAGAGCTCCGTCAGGCAACGAGAAGCAAACAGCAGGCCCGCGGCCTCCTCCCCCCCCCCGCCCCGTCTCCCATATAAACCATGCCTCAGTAGAGCTACACGCTCTTCCGCGGTACGTAGCGCGCGGGAGCACCACTATCCGGTCAGGCGCGTTTTCCTTTAGCCACCGCCCTCTGGTTTTGGTGGGCTCCAGAAACGTCAACCTCAGCTTGAAGGCCACTCCCATACGACCGACCCGCATCGCCTGTTTCAAAATGGTGGTGGCGTTCTTGTAGGGTGGGCTCGTCACGACCCAGTCCGGACGCCGCGTGTCCTCGACGTACGCCTCGACAAAAGCGTCTGTGGCGGCGTCCAGGTGGGTATCGGCCACCAAGCTAAGGGGAGGGGGGCAAAAAAAAAAACGAGCGCCGGCAAAAATGCATGTGGTGAAGCATTACATTCGCCATTTGATTCGCGGCCAGGTAAACATTGCTACGTGTGTGTTTGAGCATAGCCTATGCATACGAACTTTACGCCAAAATCTCGAAATCAAACACTGAAAAAAACCGCAGTGCTTGGTGACATCGAAGTCGGTCTGAGACACACAACACACATACCACCCATTCAAGTCGTTCGTGGCGACACGGAGACCGTGTGAACTCAGGACCGTCTTCACTGCGTCTTGGGCCGAGCCACAACAATCCAGTACGCTGCCTTGCAGATCCATGTGTTCCAGAAGAGCTCGCACCTGAAAATTGCGAAAGCAAAATCGTTCGTACTTAATATTTCTTCATTTTGTTAGGTGTTACCTGGCAGAGGGAGTATGCTGGCATGCTGGCAGCATAAATATGTTTGTTTCCACCCTCCTCGCGGGCGCTCTACATATCTTTTGCCGTTGACTTGTGGGGGTGGGGTCGACTCCCTCTCTCCTGCCACGAGACTCTTCGACCAACACGGGCAGGACAGACAACGATGCACGACCACAGCATCCTCTTACTTACCATTTTCTTATGTGAGAACCAAAACAAAGGAAAAGGGAACAATGCCACTCGAGAAATAAGGAGTAAGGCGAGGGCTACCGATGCAAGGTTGAGAGATGGGACGTCCACCACTCGGTAGAATACTACACCATCAACAGCACATGGTGACGGTCGCGATCCCAGAAACTCACATACATATCTACGTAGTCACGTGGGAACGTAGAAAGGATAACTTGACCAGAAAAAATAGAACGGGGTGAAAGTTTTCACGGGGGTCAACGTTGTCGCGTCTTCCTACAATTTCAACGTTCTAGAGTTCGCCCAGATCGATGCATATGACAGGACGCATGAGTCACCTACACCGCCGCACTAAAGGTGGTGTTTCTGCGGTGTCATACCTGGGAGCCCGTCGACGGGTACCTGCCCATCGGCGACCGCTGCCCAATCACCATGGTGTGCAAAGCTCCTTTCTCTTCCCTCTGGCGCCTCCCCTTGTACCTTTGGTACAAATTAACCACACAGTCGGCGCGGCGACAGATGCACTCTCCCGCCTTGAGAGGGTCTCCTACAAGGTCGCGCTCATGAGTCCACCCTTCCCCTACCGTTGCAGACCACTCGCCCAGCTCCGCCCAGTATTCGGAGTCCACCACGTGCTGCCAATTGGTCGAGCACCCGTCGCGGCTACCGGGGCGGTCACATGCGAAGCATCGCCGAAGCTCCCCTGCCGCTGCCGGTTCTTTGCCGTGCACCACTTTGCCACACGAGGCGCGGCGCTGCCGGACCATCCTGGAAAAACCGAAAAAACCGTTGAAAATGGCGGTATATAGCTGCTGGCCGAATCGCCGGTATTGGCGTCTACAATTGGTAATCCTCGATGCTGTTTCAGCCTGAGCAAGTACAGACCCTGACCTATACGACGCACCCGCTGAGACCGCAAGATTCTCCTCGTAAGGCAAACCTGGGCCTGGTGCCGCTGCTGCACCGACTGCACCGAGATGCTCCGCGTGTTGAAGCCCTGCTGAGGCCCTCTTGCGAGGTAGCTTCGGTTTGAAGCACAGATAGCTACCGAACGCCCAAAACTTGCACCAGCACCTCAAGTGTGAGTGTGACAACAGTATACCGAGGTTCGATTATGCCTGTTGGCGACGACGAGGCTCCTACGGCTCTGTGAACACGCAGCCTGCTGTGGCATGCAGCCTGCTGCCCAGGGGGCTTTTGAGGGGGGGTCAAAAAGAAAACAGGATACCATCTGCGAGTGCCCGGCGTACCTGTTTAGCCGCCTTGACCAGTGTTACGTCGGGCCTTGTGGACCGATTCGCGTCGTTTCTTCTCCTCTACCCTTCAGCAGTGCACCTTCTAGCGGATCGTCTCTTCTGCGACACCAACCGCGCGGTGGGCGTCTCGTACTGACGGAGCAAGGACCAATAAAAAAAAAAAAATATATAAACCAAATAACACTGATGTGCAGATCTTTACCGGTTCGACTTCGTCAGGCGTGATATCTCTCTGTCTACTCTCATATCACCTCGCAGCGTCTCCACCCACCGTTTCGAGCAGGCCTCGTGCAGCAACGTGGCAAGAATACGCCAACGCATGCAAGTTTCTCTTTTGTTTGGTCCAATGAGATGCGAAACGTGCACGCAAGCCGGGCACGTCGACCCACGAAAGGCCGGTTAACATTTAGACTATTCTACTCTGTACGCCCAGCGAATGACATTCATTCAAAGTGCCTCGCTGTTGTGCCACTTCCAGACACCTATTTACAACACTTCGGACTGCGTACCCAAAATGGCTACTACTTAGTGCATGTGGTACTGGTATGAAGTACAGCCGCCATACTGCTGTACTCTGCATGACACAATCGGCTACAGAGTGAGTCACGCTCATCGGACCCCTACAGCATTCATTCTCTGAGTGAAGAGGGGTACACAAATACTTCGAAGTACGTTATATCCCGCCCTGCTCGTCAGGTTACGCTGGCCCCATCAGGTTACTCTACACAGAATGAGGTCGACCCTACTCCCATGGAGCCCTCGTCTCTCCTCTAATTGCGCCCCTGCTTGCACGCACCAACACCTCTCTCTTGCTTACAGATGGGGCCCGCGTTGAGAGTATCGCTGTATAGGAGATAGTTTAGGATCCACCGCTGAGTTGTGTGTCTGGATTGATCTGTTCGGGCCAATCCTACCCTATGTTTCGGGACGGATGCCGTGTATCTTGCATAGATAAATGTAGAAAGGAGCAAAGGCATTATTTACAGCACTTTCGAGGGAACTGCTGTTGTTCGAATCTACGAGCAACATCAGCCCTCCTCTCCATGAAGGCAATTCTGCTTTGTTCGATACAAGGGCCAACCTGCTGGACATCTCAGTCATCGTTAACTCGATGCGGTCGCAGGTTCTCCACTTTTGACGCAATCACAATTGCAAAAAAAAAGACGAAAACGACACAACACTTGTCATGTCGGCCGCCTTTAGCAACATGAAATCACTATCAAGTTCGTTTCGACCTCAAGCTTGTGATGCTTGGGGGGTACCCATCTGCTGTATGTATGCGCCCAAACAATGAACAAGCACAGCAGTTCTCCCGCCCAAACCAATGGCTTTTGGACTCGAGGACTGCCCCTACTTCCACCAAACAAAACACGATTGATTGAGTACCAGATCCGCGGATCTCGATGATAGACGCCACGAAGTTGAATCAACAGCTCGCCTCCACGTCCGCTAACTGCGACCACCTGGCCAGCATTACTCTAGAGATGGAAGGCATCCTTCGCCCCCTTCAATTTCAGTAAACGACAATGAAGTAGCTTCATCAAGAACAAGGTAGCAAGGATACACAAAATGCACACGCTACGACGGGAAGAGACCAAAGCGAACGTCGCTCGAACCCCCCCCACCCCCCCCTCCCCAGTTGACGCGCCAAACCCTGTCGCAACACAAACCAGAACGTACGTACAAGCACTGAAAACCCTAGGCCATGAAAGGTACCGCCGAACTATCAACCCGCGAAGGAAAGAGATTTTGTAGACGTAACACACACTCGCATCCCATCCCATGTACCAAAGTTCCCCCGCCGCACAGACTACCACGTGGCCCAGGCTTAGTCTACATACACCCAATCCTGGTGGTCCATCTAAATATCCCGTCAGATGTTGTTTTAAATCGGTCCGCACCCATAACGGGATGCCCACGTCTTGTTGTAGAATCAAGACATTCGACGACAAACGCCCCCCGGAAACTTTGCTCCGAAATCGTAAGGACAGCAACAGCCTAAAAACATTCGTCAACTCTCTACCAGGTGGATCCACAAGCACGGCGGTGTTGCCTCCGCATGTAGCCTCGACCGGTACTTGTGTACACCTGCCGATGGGGTCGCAATTTTCTGGAAAGCATTTCTCCCAGTTACGCTAACACGACCAGGGTGGCGTGCGGAGCGTC